ACCGTCAGTTCAAGGTGACCGTATTTAGTTTCTTCTGTAGTCGAAGCAAGATCTACGGTGCCCTGATTAAAGGCCTTTGGGTTTGAAGAGATAGCGGCTCGCAGTGACGCTTGCGAGTCTGGAAATGCACAGAGTGCCTGGTGTCCGGTCATCTATCCTAAGTGCTTGCAGATATCTGACCCTTGGCACCATGACTGAACATTTGTATCACAACAAGAATCACGCGGAGGCAATCAGAATCAAACACAACAGCAGGGATCTCACTAATTATAAAGAATTAAAGAGAAACATCGATGCAGCTTTTGGTAATAAATCAAATGTTCGAACTGAGAGAACACATGCATAACCTATGCAAATGAAGACCCATACCCGTGCCTTGCCTCGATCAGTTTAGTGCTGCAGTACGCGAAGCAGACCGTCATTCAAACAAAAAAATATGAAAGACGGTTATGAGCATACAACAATGGAGGCTTCGACAGATAATTAAGTTAAAATGACAGGATCATGCAAGGAATGAATATATTCTCTTCTGTACATATTATCTACTAAAAGCAGATTAGAACAGATGAGACTGGTCCTGTTGCATAAACTGACTGCCCATAAATCCATAACTCTGACCTGAAAGCGTTTCAATTGGAAATTGAAAGAGGACAAAAGTCAACGATCAGTTCAAATGCAATGCCGATGGACAAAAGAAAGAAACAGACCCGCAGCAAAACCATTCTTTCTAAGATGTAGTGAGCAATGTCTAACGACCAAAGCGCAGAAAGGTTCAGAACACCGCTAACATGACAAATTAAAGATATCTCGCTACTGCAAACGGCTCAAGGTCAGAACAAAAAATAAAACTCTTGTGCCAAAACAAACTATGACTCTATTAAATCCCTATTAACTGCACATAGAACAATCGTAAGGTTAGAGGAAGATTTGGGTTCAGAGAGGAATCGATCCTTCTATGATGCAGTAACCTGTGCCATAGAGTCATTTGTCCATCTTCTTAAAGGCTGATAAATGAGTACCACTCTCTGGAAAGAAAACAGAACCCCACGCTACGTTTGCCACGTACTGTAGACTCTGCCTTTAAAGTAAGGCATTCCTGACTGATGGCATAGAAACGGAAATCAGCACACACCATCAACTTCATAAAAACATGGGCCCAATTATGAAAGTGAAGGAAGGCCGACACATTCCAAATCTGTGCCATGCAACTAAACTGCTGAAAATCAGCGAACATAGCAGACAAAAAACAGACTTTTGGTAAATCAAACGACTTCAGACAATATCCAAAACCAACAACATATCGATCAAGCATATGTAAAATGAAAACAAAACGTTTGCAATATGCTTACCATCCCATTTAGCATTTTCAATGTCATACACATCGTCGGTGGCGGCTGTTTTGCTAAAAAAATACGCTGAAAAACAAATAGACTACAACGGTGTCTCATCAAAAGTGCACCCGACAAAAGCGCGCATTGAAAAATACAATCATTGAATAGGCTCTTAATCTTAGAACCACATTACTACATGTACAAATCCATTCATTTCAGTCTATACGAATGCAATGAAGATGTATATACATGTTTCGATATATACATGACAAAAATTCATACCATTTTTACATTCAACGTCGGATCAGCGTTGCAGGCGATTCCGCGCAAGAAATTCAGCAATCGTAGGCAACCATATCTTTAGAAACAAAACTTGCAGACGTCTCCTTAGCCTTACGTACTATGACTTTGATTCTTTAAGATGTTTTTTGTGAAAGTGGCAGTTAGTTTGTAAATTATGTAGATGACAATTCACAGTATGTTGAAATACTCAGTGTAATGCCTACACTGAATTATTCCTAAGTTGCACATTGTCATTTGCACGATAATATATGTACCACATGGTAACACTAAACCTAAACCAGTTTTAAATCTTGCAGTACCATCTTCGCAGAAACAAAGCCTGCAGGAGACTTTTCTCTCTTTGCACAGTGCCTCTGGCATTAGATCATAGCTTTATTTAGCCGAAGAATGCAGCGATAAAGAAAGCGTGCGAATTCACATCAACATGCTCCTACGAGTGTAACTACGGTAGCAGACGTGCGCTGTAAGACATGCATGACCGTATGGCAAAGACTCCGATGAATAATTCACCTACGAATTACCTATGAATAATTCAGTAGAAACGTGGTATGAAGCGTTTCAACAGATAGTGAATTGTCAATTTAAAAACCAACCTACCTTTTTCGAAAAGAATAGGGTCACGTAATGGTCAAGGAAATGGTTGGAAGCTGCCCTGCTAGATTCAGACAGTACCACACGCCAAAATCAGTTTACTTGAGGCTTACCAGATGTCTGCAAGCTCAGCTTCCAACACATTAACATGTACCATTCTTGCACAGAATCGCTCATAACGTTCAACTTTGAAACTAATAGAGTGCCATATTTCTAAAATTTAAAACGCGTTCACGTACATGTATTTCTCTGTGCGTGTCATGAACAGTGTGCTTTTGGCGGGTCACTAGAGCATAACAACGTCAATAAGCATGATGCATCACTAAAATTTTGCAGACCAAACATGGTGGACAAGGTAGCAGATTTACACATTTCTCACAACCGGCAGAAGAGCTCAATAAGGCAGAAGCTGACGCAGTTTGACGAAATCTGAACGGACACGCGCGAACAAGTTTCGGAGAAGAAAATCTTGCATGAATTACTTAGCTACCTTGCACTGACTTGGGATGCAGCGTCAAATTAGGCAGGGAGCTACTGGCTATGCAGAGGAAAACAGTTCGCAATATTGCTTTATCCAAGTAATTCAATGATGGAAATAAAAGCAGATTCGTCGGCTGCATGCAAACGAGCTGTTCCCTTCATTTCGAGCATATTTTCAGTGTGTGCTTGAAAGGTTCACAGCTGCGCATAAAAAACGTACAGCTTAGCCTGACTGCAAGCGAGGCAAGTGGAGAAACTTCGGGCAAAGTTTTACACGTGGTGAAAGAGCGTTAAAATAGACAAAAACTGGTTAAAGAG